GCGGAGCGCGGCGCCGCGCGGGCCGTACCTTGGTGGTGCGGATGTGCTCCATGGCGGCGCCCGGCACCAACCGTCGCCGCCACCACCCGGCTGTGGCGCTCCCGGCCCGCGCGGCCGTCACCTAGGAGCGCTTCCGGGGCGGCGCCCAGGGGGCGGGGCCTACCGGGTGCCCCGCCCCTTGGCGGCCCGCGCCGCGCGCATGCGCACTCATGTCCGCACGGGCCGGACCGCCGAAAGCTCATTCGTTTCGCTCACTTAACATTAAACTTAACTTTTCCAGGCCGTATTTTATTGTTAGCATCATGTTACAAAGCACCGCTCTGGTCCATTCTCTGTCCTCTCTGTAAAGGTCCTCTCTGTAAAGGTTTAAACCTCTCAGAGGTTTCGCGACCTCAGGTTTCCCTCTTTTATCATGTCCGTAGGCTGGTGTGTGCGCAGCATTTAAGCGAGTGCGGCCCACGCATCACCAATCACACTTAAAAGGCAGGGCAAGGCGGCAGGATTCTGTAGCAGAACCAGGCGCCCGGCAGGTATTCCCGAAGATTCTTTCCGGTAACAGGGCCCGGAACAGGGCACACGAGGGGCACGCGACTCCGCGCTGCTCCCGGTGCTTCCAAGAGCGCCACAATCCCGATCCCTGGAGCTCGCGCGGAAGCAACCGCCGCCTCGCGGAGCCCCGCGCTGAGGCGACTCCCGCGCATGCGCGCGGCGGGGCAGGGCGCGGGCGGCCGTTACGGGCGCCGCGCTCGCTGATTGGCCGGCGGGCGGGCCGCGGGGTGACGCGGCGTTGCCCGGCAGCGCGGCGGGCGCCGCCATGTCGCGCAAGGAGCAGCTCTACGCGCAGCTCCTGCGGCAGGAGTGCGCGCAGGGCCGCCCCGCGCGCAGGTGAGAGCCGCGGCGCCCAGCCCCGCGCCCCCGGCGCCCGCACCGGGGAGCCGCCTTCCCGCCGCGGCCTGGAGGCGCTTCCTCGGACGCCTGCCGCGTGCCTGTGGCGGACGGCGGCGTCGCAGGGGGCGCCGCCCGTGATGTCCTGGGGTTTAGCGCATCCAGAGTTTGTTCCACATTTGATCCACATTTGTTCGTACTTGGTCCCGAGCAGTAGCTTTGGAGCACACGTTTCAATGCTTTTTCTAATTATGGCATTTTYACCACCAGTATGCTGTAGATTTTACTCCAGTGAGTGTATCGGTCCCCTAAAGCACTTACATTGCCCTTCTGCTCCCTYGGGCACGTGCGTTCTCCCACTGCACCCGCCTTTGAGCGCTTCCACAGCGTTAGTTTTTACACAATGTCTCTGCTATGGCGAGAAGGGGAAAAAAAACAACAATAATGGAGAAAAAAATAAAATAATTAGGTGAAAAGACTGCTTCCTCCGCTTTCCCCGCGCCCCTGGCTTGCTCCACACGTGGGGCCGCTCGGCCCGCGCGTGCTGCCCCGGGCGGCGCCGCGGTCCCTTTAAGGCGCGGGCCGCCGTCCCGTGGTGCCTTGCGGCGGGCGCGCGCACGGAGCGGGGCGCCCGCGCTCGGAGCCGCCATCGCCGCCGGGCGCGATGCGGCGCTGAGGGGCCCGCGGGCGCCACCGGCACAGGTTCGGGGCGCTCCGGGTGGGGGCCGAGCGCGCTTTAGTTGCCTGGCTTTGGTCTTCGCTCGCAAATAGCGGRGGATATTTCCTTTTTTTTGGCTTCCTCTGTTGAATATTTGGGCCGTTGCACAACTGGGGCTCCTGAGCCCAGTTAGTCCTCATCCTAGTGCGAGCTGAGCGGCTGGGGTGGCCTAAGCAGCTCTGAAGGTTGTGAGGGGAAAGGAAGGAGGCCTCGGCATCCACCACAGTTACCTGCAGTCAGGTGTGGCCTTTTGAAAGCTCCATGTGAGAGCACGAGTTTTCAGTCTCTCTTCATACTCTTAGTTATGTTACCATCACATATTTATGAGTACGTTTGTCAACGGGCTTCACTACACACCGCCCAGTAATTAAATCTTTGCTTTGTGCAACTCTAAGACTGATTTTTTATTATTGATTTGAACCAGTTTAAAAATTTTCCTTCAGCAACATTTAAAATGGCCTGCAAAACAAATGGAGATGTGTATTTTGTTAAGCTAGACTTAGKGCAAACCCCACACATTAAAGTTGAATATTTTTCCTTTTGATTTTTTTCTTAACTGGCTTTTAAATCTGTAAAATATAAAAAGCTAATATTTAGCAAGTACTRTTTATTAGGTGTGTTATACTGTGTATTTTTATTCAAATATTTTTATAAACATGATGAAGTTTCTGGGCTGTTSCTCAAGGAGTATCAGTGAGGAAGAGGCCTTTTTACTGTTGCTGACCCGTGCAAGAATCCAGACCGTCCCAGTTGGATGGCTTGTTCACAAACGTGTGTGAGACTGTAAGAAACTATGGGTAGGGCTGTGTTGCTCTGTGGTTGCAGAAAGAGTTTTACCAGGTAGGTCCAGCACAAGCATCACTGGTCCATATAGCCTAAGGYCTGTATGGGGCTTCAGCCTCAATCCCTCCCTGTGTCAGTATCAAGTTCAGGTGGTTGTGTTCTCTTTTAATCAGTTCTCCCAAGTGTGCTTTAGGCGGGTGCAGTGCTTTGCTAAGTTACAGTTAGGACCTGACTTTAGTGACCTGATAAACTGCCACTGGTATCTTGGAAAAATCATCTTACCTCTGCTGGAAAAGATGAGAAGTATCAGCTCTCATCTACCGAAAGCAACCAGGTTTTTACGTTACAGTTTAGAAGAAGTCATGTCATGTTAATGCAGCTTAGCAGATTGAAACTTTAAGCAAAGCTGAAAGATATCTTGGCTTCTGCGTGGTTGGGGAGTTGTTAACAAAGCCTCACCAACTCTCACAAGGCTTAACCAGTGAGTGCTGCAGGTGTTTCCAAAACTTTTAATGTTAAGTCTTTGATTGTGAGTTGTTGGGGGGGTTTATTTGTTGTTTTTATTGTCATTTGCAGTGGGATGAGGAAGAGGTCATCATGTTTAGGCACTACCTAAAGGCAGCGATGAAGGAAAATGAGAACAGTGGCCAAAGTGGTCACTTTTGGTGTGATACAATATGGCTACTCTTAGTCTATGTTAAAAGTCTTTTAGATATTTCATAAGCCAGCAGGCTACAACACCAGTGTTGGAGTCTATAGATGTAGCCTAAATTCTAGGAACTCTTGTGTTTCCAGAAAGATTTGGCAGATGGCAGCAGGAAGCTAGTAAYCAAGTGAGCGTAATAAACATTTAAGTTTCAATTCCTTACAAGATGAAAACTTAGATGTTTATTATGCTCACTTGGTTACTAGCAACTGTGAATTTGCTTAGTGACAATCATGACTGCTGTGTTCCCTGCATCTTTTGTGCAATAATATAATGCATTCTCAGTGCATATATAAGGCTTGTCCAGTGTTTGCCATAATACAGTGTTTGTAGTTATCCCACATAAAACAAATACTCCACAGTTCTGCTGACACTGCTGAACTCTGGTTCTCTCCTTCTTCCCCTTTGTGATAACAGCTCTAGGAGTTCATTTCTATAATTGAATTGTGCGGAATATTGTCAGGAAAGAAAAGTATGTAGCTGTGGGTCTTCTGTAGTTCGCAGCTGTGGGTAGGGATAGCATTTGGTTAGAAAAGGAATTTTAGAACCTATGTTGCTTGAATAAAATGAGGGAAAGATGCTCTAACAAAAGGTGCATCTCGGCATGCTTAGCACTTCATAATGTTGGTGAGGTTTCAGGTTAGCAGTGTCTCATGGACCTGCGGACTGTATTGAAAAGATCCTGCTCCCAGCCACGCAGGGTTGTCCATTACTGTAGCCTTTCTAGAGCCTTTGGCTCTTAGCTTTTTTTCTTTTTCCTCCATTCCCATAGTTTAGGGAGAATAATTAGCCGTGTTGACAGAGATGAGCGTTGCAAGTTTTTCTGTTGGTCCAGCAGGGTGAATCTGTTCAGCAGGGAGCCCAACAAGTGCTGGAGTGTCAGAGAGGCAGCGTGTGTCAGGCAGTGCCGTGGGGAGGTATCGAGATGGGCTCCTTCTTGCAGACTTCTAGTGGGGGAGAGTGAGCTTTGGTCTGCTCATCTTACCTGTCTGGAGAGATGATTGAAAACATGGGAAAGAAAAATAGCTAGCAGGGTTTTTGGAATTTTGTAATTATTGTTTTAAATTTATTACTAATAGTTACATTTTGTAATAGCTCAACAGGAGGACTTAATTTTGGAACCCTGGGATCTTCCACTGCTACAGCAACTACATCAGCTCCCTCGGTGGGCTTTGGTACTGGACTTTTTGGATCAAAATCAACCACAGGCTTTACACTGGGAGGTACCAGTACAGGTAGGAAAGGAAATTTGGGTTTATTTTTATAATAAATTGGAAATTTAAGTGAACAAGGGAAGAAATATGCACACAAAACCATCATAATGCACTGGTAGAAGGTTTTTATAGTAGTTCAGTAGTCATTTTATCTATAGTTTGTAAAGCCTTTTTACAGAACAATTTAAAAGCAGAGTAATCAAGATGTATGCAGTGCTGATGCTGCAAAATGCAAATGTAGTTACCAGAAAACCGTATCTGGGCATTTGTGTAAACTGTGTCTCATTTTGACTCCCCTGGCCTTTTGAAAGCTGAAGTCTCCATGCAGAATGCTTGAAACTATGACTTTAAAAATGAGCTGCAATTTGATTTTAAACATGTTCAAATTCAGTACTTTATGTTTGTAAAATTCAGCATTTGTAATTCAGTATTCAAAATTCTGTAATTGTTAAAGCTTTTTCTTAAAAAGCTTGAGATTTTTGTTCTCGKGTGTGTGTTTAAACTAAAGCTATCCAGACGAACAAATTCATGATTTTCTTGCCTTAGGCCTTCAGTCTGTGAATGTCTTCAGAAATCAAATTGCAAAACAATTAAACTTGTGTAGCTTCTGTAGTGGTACCTGAAAAAAAATATTTCAATTGATGAATTTTACATGCTCTCCAGTATTGCTAGAGAATATTGTCTCGTTTGTTTGTTTCCTTGCTCACTTGTGTGAGTGGATAGTTTGGTTCTTAGGACTTCTCCTGTTAGAAGCAACTTAAACAGTGGACTCAACCTGTCTTAATATGTTAAACTAATGCCGATGTATCTTTTTTTATCTTTTGCACTACTGAATGTTTTGATCTTCAGATAAATGTTTTGATCTTCTAATCAATCTTTCCTAAAAATCTGGAATTGCACAGCACCGCTTTCAAAATAATCTGGATTGTTGTGGGGCAGAAACTCTAAACTAAGATGCAAGGAGGATTTGGGRCTCTGATCCCCTTTCTTAACACGTAAAAGAACACTCCTACAGTATGGTGTTATGTGCTTTCATCCTGCTGGGGAAAAAAAGATATCTTCATTAGTCTCATATTTGTTTACCTCTATTTCTTTCAAATTTCATAAAAAATGTTTTTTACTATGATGAAAACCACTCTGATCTTAATTAGTCTTAATTGAATGTTTTGTTTTAAAGCAGGAACAGCAACAACAATTGCTACAGGATTGACACTAGGTAAGGATCTTAATGATACACAAGCAGAAAATGACTTCCCACATTGCAAGAGCCATCAGGAATCATGTGTGAGGTTTCTACTCGTTGCCAGTGGCAGCCTTCGTTACTAAAGAGAGACAGAAGTATAGTTAATGATGTTTCTCAGTGCCTTGCTGCTGCACTTGAATCAGCAGGACTGAAGTTAAGGCAGGAAACCAGAGTGGAGCTCTGCAGATCTGGGCACTGCTTTGCTTGGTGCTGAATCATTGGTTTGTCATTACAAAACATTGTTCTGTACAGGACTGTTCAGTATTTCCTTCATGTAGAAGAATGAGGATTGAATATATTCCTTTTGTTTCTTTAATGTGTGTTTAATGACTCCTTCAGCTGTCATTAGAAATATTACAATACGGTGATTCTTAACAACTGTGTTAAGGTGTGAGAAAGAATCRAGTTTGACAGTATTGCAATTTAGGGGATGGAGGGGCTACAAACAGCTTGCTTTCCAGGTAGTTTGGAAGCAACTCGGTGAATAAATGGGGAAAATAATGCTGTGTAATAGAAGCAAATTAAATACAGAAGGGAAAAGAGACTAACCTAGTATACATGATGTAATGTATGAAAAGRTATGTTTCTCTGCTATATAGGGGACCAGTAATTGTTCTCAGTAGCCAAATGTTATCCAATACATGCACAGAACAGGTAACTGAGATTGCTAAATTTATGATTATGGTCACTTGTGAATGTGTACACAATTTGTGCTTTACCTGGGAATGTGGGTTTTGCAACATAGAATGTGTTCTTAGGCTGAAATGAGTGTAAGTAGAAGCTTTGTTTGCTTTACTTCTAGGGTAAGGTAAGGTCTGCATTTTAGGGTAAAGACCCTGAGCTTCCTAGGAACACTGGAAGAGCATACCTTGTAAAAACAGTAATGTAAGTGTTTGAAATTCATCTGAAGGTGTATGTTGTATTTAGGATCTCTTCTGCCCATGACTTTACTTGCTGCTATATTCAGGTGGTTAAATTGCAATAGTTCAGAAAAGCTGAATTAAATTATTCATTCCCAAACCAAACAGCCTAAGAGTGATGTTTGTTTGTTTTTAGGCACTCCTGCTACCACATCAGCAGCCACCACAGGCTTTAGTTTAGGCTTCAACAAACCTGCAGGTTCTGCGACGCCATTTGCTTTACCTATCACTTCTACCTCAGCAAGTGGCCTCTCGCTCTCATCTGCTCTTACATCAACTCCTGCAGCAGGTAGGAAAGCTTTTATTTTAATTGTAAAAGGGAATGTGGACTTTAGTTTTCAGTTTGTGAACCTAATAGAAATAGATCTCTATGGAAGGCAGTATACTGTCTAATACAAGCAACATGTAATCTGTAGTATGAAAATAGTAGCAAAGCTGACTCTTCATGTAAAACTTGTTGCTGTTTTTAATCCCACTCCAATTTGTCAGTAGAAGTGGGAAGGTTTAAAAACAGCCCATTTTAGATGGGCGGAAAAGATTAATCTGTGATGTGAAATTCTTAATGTAATTCTAGTACTGTTAGCTGCCTGGCATTGTACTTTTAAGTTCTCTGATGCCTGATAACACTGAAGACTGGACTTGATCTTTCTTAATCTATGCCCCCTTTATGTTCTGTTCCTTTTTCTGTCTGTGGACGTCTACTTATTCTCCCTATTCTGCCAAAAACTGGAATGGCTAGTACCAGCAGAGAAGTGAAGTATTAGGTATGATCTGTCTTAGGTGAAATATTTTATCTTTAATATGAACCAGTGAGTATATAAAAAGTTGGTGGCATCTSTTAGATTCATCACCGCTTAGAACTACCCAGCACAGTATTAGYTCTAGGTGCCCTAGCATTCTAGAGGGCTCTCAACTTTGGTACAGCTTCAGGTAAACTTAGCCTAAACAAGACTGAAATACAATGGAATAAAATTGTGTGCAGCTCAGTTTCTGGTGGTTTTATCTGGAAAATCTGCAGGAAAAAAACATGATTGAAGTTATTGTCCAGTTATGTAAAAATGCTGCTCATACCTCTCATCAGTAGTTTCAGATAGCAGACACCATCACTTACAGGCCATGAAATTCTTTCTCTTCACTGCAGGTACTACTGGTTTCACACTAAATTTGGGTGGTACAGCTGCCCCAACCACAACTGCCTCCACAGGCCTTTCCTTCGGAGGAGGCTTAGCTGGTTTAGGAAGTTCACTTTTCCAGAACACCAGCACAGCAGCAACAGGTGCGGATTTTTCCTTTTTTCTTCTTTCCATAAAGTTGAAATCTAACRTATGTGCTTATATAAAATCTTAATATTTAGGTGTTGCCATTGGCAGAGTAGTGTTACTAAACATAAACATTTTATTACTAACCGTAAACGTTATAAATAAAGAACTGAAGTTATTGGTTTCTTTCCTGTCTTCAGACTGACTTGCATTTTACAAATTCTTAATGGGAACACAAGGAAATCTGTTACTGCCAAAATTGTCTTGAGGAAATTGATAATAAATGTAAGGAGGCAATGTTACMTAAGTATCTCCATTAACTATGGCGAATTTGCTCTCTGGAGAAGGTGGAAGCTACTTATTTTGGTGGGACTTGTCTGAATAGAATCTCTAACCTTCAGTATCGTCATTTCAGACAATGAGCTAGAAGAAACAAAAGCAGTTTAGGGGAAAAATTGATTTGTTTCCCTGTGTTGTAGTGCTGGTAACACACTGCTCGTAAGCTCCAAATGGCACAATATTTTTTTTTAAATGCTGCTGATAAATTAGCTCTGTAGTTTAGCTATCTAGATGMATGAATAAATTATAAAACAATTGTGTATGAAACTTCCATTTTGTATTATTTTGCATGTCTTTTTAATCTGAATGTAGTGAATAACCACTGAAATTGTGGGCAAGGTAATCTATACTTTTAAAATGCTGATTATTACGATGTACTTTAAATACTGAAATTTCTTTCTGGGTGTACTGCAGGGCTTGGGCAGAATGCTTTGAATTTGACTCTGGGGACGACTGCAGCTCCTTCAACTACTGTTAATGAAGGTCTTGGTGGCATTGATTTTAGTAGCTCTTCAGACAAAAAGAGTAAGTTCCTTTTTAAAATGTGTATAACTGATAGGGCATTTATATGTAACCTTACTGGGGAATAACAAAACACTGCAGTGTAGGCAGTGCTTAGTTTTGTTAGGAATGCAGGATTAAAACCAATTTTAAAACATTTTTTTTCTCTTTAACTTTCAGATACTATAGCTGCATAGAAGAATAAGATTTTGGTTGAAATTGCAATGTTGTGTGTATATGTATTAGTGTATGAATATGAATTACAGGATCAGTCTGAAGAGCAGGAGTCTGAAATGCCTGGCTAGATTTCCAAAGAACTGTATGCCCAATAGCCACTAGAGGGGGGAGCAGAGCTATGCACGAGCATGTTGCAAATGCCAAAAGTGCTTGTTAGAAAGCAAGTACTTCAGCTGTACTGGGCCTTAAGGAAGGAAGAGGAGGGGAAAAAATGGAAMCCCCAAAATAAAGCATTCTCACTCCTAAATGTTATTTCTCAAAGTTGTATTTCTAGACTGCACTACTACCAGCTTCTTGCAGGTTGTTGAAACATTATTAAAAACCTGCCTCCATGGGTGTTTTGAAGCATTGCCTATATAGAGCTCCAAAATGAGTAAGGAATAGTGGAGAGGTGCTCTCTTAGCCTGTTGGCCAGCCTGGTGGCAGGAAAAGGGAAGTGGGGGTTTAAGTTGCATCTAAGCAGGAAAGAACCAGCCCAAGTCTTGGTCTTCCAAGTGTCGGTTTTTCTTTGCAGTTAGATATGTAAAAGTTGCAACATGTGATTACTGACCTGGACCTTAACTAAAATAGTCATAGCTTAATTATGTTTATAATAATTGTGTTAAACTCCATTCCCTTATGAAGAAAGGCATTTGAGTGCTAGACCCACAGGTACCTTGTGTGTAGTGTGTAAGTGGTAGCTAACAAGGTTTTACAGAATGGAAGGTATTGCTGGATGTGTGCCCTAACAGGCCTCTTGAGGAAGTCTCTTCCCCAAACCTTTATTACCCTGATATTTAAGTATTGTTACTGAATGTGAACTTTTGAGCTGCTTTTGAGCTGCTTTGAGATGCAGGATCTAGTGATTTGCTTGTGGGAGCCTAAGAAAGAACAGATTTCTTGCACAGTTGCAATTGTTCATTCATCTGCTTTGAAGTGTTCAGCACTGATTTGTGCCAGGTCTTGTGTCACCATATGTCTTACCCCTTAACTAAGGAAAGGATGCTTGTCTGTGAAAGAGTAAATTAAATACTTTTATGGGTAGTACAGTGTTTTCCTCTTAAGAAATTAAACAGATAAGTCTTTAGTTTTTGCTTTAAAAACATTCCCTTAAAGTTGTTTTGCTTGGTAGTTCCTCAGAGTTGTTTTTCTGATCTGTAGTTTTTATTTTCTAGATGACAAAGCAGGAGCACGACCAGAGTAAGTGCTAAGATTTTCTCTGCATTCCCTGGGTTACTAGAAAACAGCTACATTTAATATTGTGACTGTTTAGTCTTGGAAAAAAAGGCATAAATGTAAACAAACAGCATCGGTAACGTGAATAATTCAGTAATGGTGGTTCATCATTGCAAATATCAATTGCCATTTTCCCATCAAATATGAGACTTAGCTTATTTGACTTCTGTTGTAGACTTACGGTCTTCAGAAAATCTTTTTAGCAAATGTTTAGGATGCTGTCATAAGATGCAAGGAAGAAAAAGCTTCTATTGCTTGTTTGCATTAATTCAAATTAATATAATATTACTAATTACAGTGTATACATAACAGGTGCAAACTTACATAATTGGCCGCTGGAGTTTTAATTTTGCTTAGGCATCACGTAGAAAATATTGGGCAGKCTTCAAGCACCATGTAAGGATATGTTATTTCTCTACAGAGACAGTAAAGCGCTAAAGGATGAAAATCTACCTCCAGTTATCTGCCAAGATGTAGAAAATCTACAGTAAGTAGCATTGCAGGGTTGTGGGGATTTCCTTGGGGGGATGTTGTTGTCTTTCTTGTTTTGTTTTGTAAACAATTGAATAGTCAAAGTAGCCTATATTGTCAGTGCTCTCTAGCAAGACCAATGTGTTGCAAGCTGCATGCAGGAGAACTTAGCCAGCCCAAAGTCTTTTAATGTGTTMACCTGGGATGAAAGTAGATGGTTAGTTCTGGTAGCTGCTTGTCATGGGCAGTGGACATCTTCAGCCCCCTTTTCTGTGCAATTACAGAAATGTRCATGCCTAATAAATAAGCTCCTAGAAGCTGGTCCAGCTCTTCTTGGGAGTATTCTCTTGGGAGCTGTAAACACTTGGCTACKTCTAGTAACATGAAATATATTTAATATGTTTATATATTGTTTCTCTCTTTTTTTTTTTCCTTCTTCCTTAGGAAATTTGTGAAAGAACAAAAACAAGTTCAGGAAGAAATTAGCAGAATGTCCTCTAAAGCAATGCTTAAAGTACAGGAAGACATTAAAGCTTTGAAACAACTTCTGTCTGTAGTTGCCAGTGGGTTACAGAGGAACACTCTTAATATTGACAAGTTGAAAATGGAAACTGCACAGGTACACTTGAATCTAAGTTCTGTTAACTAGGTTTGCATGTGTTATTTCACCTACAATAAAAAATCAAGCTAATAAATCTCCTCCCTGGAAGAGGCTGCCCAGGGAGGCTGTGGAGTCTCCTTCTCTGGAGATCTTCCMAASCCGCCTGGCTGCCACCCTGTGCCCCSTGCYCTGGGTGTCCCTGCKGGAGCAGGGGGTTGCACTGGGTGATCTCTAGAGGTCCCTTCCAACCTCRRCCATTCTGCGATTCTGTAAATGGAAACTCAACTGTATCTTGACAGAAACAGTTGTACAAATGAAAAAAGAATGAGCACCAGGAGACTGAAATCTGATGGTTGTGCTGTCAGATAGATACAACAGCAGATGGGTGATCACTATTGTGAAAAGGATGTTTGCCCACTTTAGTTCAGCTCCAGTTGTATGTTCAGCAAAGGCTTGTTTGTAATAACGTGCCTCAGAGGTGCAAGTACCTGTTTTCTTCTGGTKCTCTTTAAGAACAGTAAAACTTCAGGGACTGAAATGTCTTAAACGATAGCTAGTATTTTCGGAAAACATGAATCAGAACTCTCTGCATCCCTACATTTTCCTTTGTAAGTACCTATGTACCAGTCTGAGCTCAGGTTATCATAGAATGCTTACAGYTGGAAGGGACCTCAGGGGTCATCTAGTCCCAACCCCCTGCATGCACAGGGTCACCTAGAGCACATGGCACAGGGCTGCAAGGGCTTTCGTAAATAAAAGGTCTGTTACTAAATTAATATCTGTACTGTTTTATCTTATTTCCTGCATGTGAAAATTGTTTGATTTGCAAATAAATAAGCATATTGTGTGTTCAGTACTTTGGAAAATATTGAACATGCATGAAATGGATCATGAGGAAGATTCTATTGAAAAACAAGCATTCTGTGAAGTAGTTAGTGTTTTTATATAACATCCCTTCACTTAAAGATGCATTGTTTCCTTGTGCTTGACTTTACTCCTTCCTTCCTAYGCTGTTCTACCCTGCCTCCAGCAGACTTCAAAAGTCATCATGTCATTATTGAAGAATGTTAGAAGGTAAACCTTAGCTGTGGCTCTTTGGTGCAGTGTTTCCTAAATTTCTTGGAGCTCAACATGCTTTCAGGCTAAAAGGTTGTTTCTCTGAAGTTGCTTTTYTTACAGTTCTGCAACCCTCTGTCAACCTATCTTTGGAAGAATTTCTGGTCAGATTGTATCACAATTTTAAGTACTTAAAGAAAACTAGCTTTGCACTGGTATAGTGAATGAACTATACCACTGTAGCTATTTTCTTTTTGAACAGAACCTTATTTCTTTATTCTTTTAACTTATTTAGGAGCTAAAGAATGCAGAAATAGCACTAAGAACACAGAAAACTCCTCCTGGTCTTCAACATGAAAATACAGCCCCAGCAGAGTAAGTTACTCTTAYTTGTAAGAGGCTTCAATGATGTAACTTCTAAAGTTGACCTTGAGATGGTGTATTGAGAACATACACCTGTTGCAAGTAATATAAAGAAGATTAGTAGCTACTGTAGGTTTGAGAATAAAAACAGATGCCAAATTAGCAAGTTTAATTGTGTGATCTGATTGTTTTGCACAGCTACTTCAGAACCTTGGTTGAGCAGTTTGAAGTACAGCTGCAACAGTACAGGCAACAAATAGAAGAACTGGAAAATCACCTTGCTACTCAAGCAAACAATTCACATATAACTCCCCAAGGTAATGTCCAGATATTCATGTTTCTTCCACAAACAGTTTAAAAACTTCAGACATATAGGAAAAGCTCTACATGTAGTTACACTCTTTTAACATTCCTTATTTAATGTATGGAAGTAAGCGTGCAAATAGATACTGTAGTTCTACAATATTAAGATGTGGAGTTTTAGTCTTTAGTTCACATAGATTGTTGAGCTTTTCAGGTTGCATCTTTTCTGAGATACAGCTGGTGAGCCTGGTTTGTGTTATGTAGAACTTCAGTACCAGAAAGATGTTAGGTGCCTTTGAATAAAATTGACAACTTCTGAGCTCCTGAAAAAAACAGGAATTAACCAGGAAGCGCAGTGGATCTCCCACTTGTTTGTTCTGACTTGCTTTAAGGGCTTGTACGAGGTTGTCTGGAGCTCCTGACACTTTATAGCTGACACTTGCATAGAGGCTGGGAATGGCAATTTGGGGCCCTTTGGGGCAGGAGGTGTCTCCTGGACACAGGAATGTTACAAAACATGATTAAGCCCTGAGAGATTACGTTTGGGGGGGGAAAAAAAAAAGTGGTCCTATACTGCTAAAAAACTGATCTGTAGTGCCCAATTACTCTCATTCTATTCTTTTCATAGATACTTTGTTCTCATGCATTTTCTTGTTTTCTGATATGAGTTTGTAGTAAAGTTTGTCTTTACCAAACTTCTTTCTAAATGAGGGGGTCGGAGGGGTTGTGGTGTGTGGGGTTTTTTTTGTTTTGCTTTGTTTTTTTTTTGTTTTTTGTTCCCCTGCTAGCAAGACTGTCATTCACCACTGTTTTGTCTGCCTCTTACAGATTTGTCTATGGCTATGCAGAAAATCTATCAAACATTTGTAGCTTTAGCTGCTCAACTTCAATCAATACATGAAAATGTAAAGGTATGTTGTCCTCATGGGTTCCTGTTTATTCAGTGAAAGAACTACAAAGCAGCATTTATCAGAGGGAAAAATAATATATATCTTCAGTTATTCTCTTTGCTTGTGAAACTGTTACTTCTTTTTTTAAAAAAAAAAAAAAAGAAGAAAAGAAAAACCCCAAGCAAGTGTCCCAGAGAAGTGCTCAGATAAAGTTATTTTGTTCAGCTGAAGTGAGCTCATTGGGACTCTTTAGAGTGGTGGTTGCTACAGTGACCATAGCCATTGAGGTTGCATTTTTTTTTTTATTTAATTCCTTTTTTGTTTTAACTTGTGCCTTCAAGCTTTTATACTATGTTCTTTGCCTGCTTTGCCTCATAACTTCAAGCACCAATGATCTAAATCTGTTCTTACTCAGGTAGTAGAAAAAAGTACATAATCGCTTGTAATGTTTTTAACATATCAAAGGTTTTTGGTGAAGGATGTRTTTCCACTTTCACCTCAGTTTTCATGAAAAGACATGTGTATACAAAAGCTATTWWAAAAAAAAAAAAAAAAGTAATGTTGCAAAGCTTCAGAGCAATCAKATTCAATGTTTTTTCAATCAGGARCTCTATGGAATGGAGCAAAATTTCTAACTCCAGCTTGAACTTCTTGTTCCACTTCTGAGCATACTGGAGAAGTACCGTCTACCTTAAAGCCTTAATCCTTCCCAAGGAAGTTCCCTTGCTTCCTTGATAAGGAAAGCCTTGGCGAAAGTAGAAGTGTTGGGGATTGTTTTTTGCTGTCTGAGGCTAAGTGGTTTTGATGTGAAGAGCTCGGGTAAAGCTGGTTTGCTTTTCTTCTGCAGAAACTTCTATGCTGTAGCGCTGCTGGATAAAAGTGAAGAAAGTTGAGGATTTATCCRTGCTTGTTGTAGGGACTAGATTCCTGAGGCTTCATTGCTTCAGTCATGGTGGACATTTATTGTATTGCAGCTCAAAGGGATGATTGTGGTCAGTTGATTTTTGTCTGGTTTTGTTTTTGTTCTTTTTCCTTCCTTTCCTCCATGCTTGACCTTGTATTGATTGCCTTTGTATTCATTCATCAGATTTGGGCTGCTTTTAGCCRATTAATTCTTGGTATTAGATGTGTTAGCTCCTTTGTAGCTGCTGCAGAGGGAGGCAGAAAGGATGTACTGGGCTCCTCACTCCTGAAATCAGTGTAGTACCGACTAACTTGTGTTGTGGTCTCTGRGGTGATGCTGTGTGGTGTATGGTGATGTGAAGAGCTGGCTTAGGCCAACATGAAAGACCTCATCAGTGTGACCAAAAATGGAAAGGTATTACTTCAGGTTAAATATTTTGTTTGAAATTAGGAGATGAGGTGATTCTCCTTTTAGGAGATAAGTTTTTGAGGGCAGTGTAGGTTTTTAGAGGTGTGGTTTTGGGTTAATTTTTATGTATGTGGCTTAATCCAGAAGACACAAAGACTCACATTTTAGAATGCACAGTTACAGCTAAAGCTTTAAAAATCAGAGTTAGTTTTTGGTTATTAACTGCTACATGCTAGGAGAGCAGTTTTGAACCTGCTGTGTCTTCAACTTGTCGTGGTGATTGATGAGACTTGTGGTCAGCAGCTCTGTTTTCACAGCTCTTTCTGTCTGAGCTAGGCTTGTTGGTTTGCACATGCAGTTGGAATTGAAGGTCTGAAGTTGCAGAAAAACAGTAGACTGAGACATCTTTGTGCTGGCTGGTAGCTTAATTTATAGGTGTATTTGTATTGCATGAACATACAGCAGTAATTCTGTTGATTCGTTAAAGGAATAATTTTCTTCATTTAATCACATCTAAGATATTCCTGTATCTTTGACAAAAGTGGAGAAGAATTGTGGTGAAAAGACCACCCTGGCTGTTGCCACAAAGGATGGRCTTTTGGGTGGGAAGGGGAAGAGGTAGGAGTAGGAGATCAAACTGAGGCCTTTTGATGGTGTTGTAAGAAACAGAAGCAGAAGAGAAGGATGAGGAAGTAAGAGCAGGTTGTACGCAGGAGTGGTAGCACTGAAGACTATTTCCTGCTGATTAAATACTAGCTTATGTAGTAATGTAGTTATGTGACTCTATTTTGCTGCTTAGCTACTCCATTAACATAAGCGTAACCACTAATTTTTGCTACCTTTGAAAGAGTTGCGTATCTTTTTTGCCGTGTTGCCTTTAAGTTTGATCACAAAGAAGCTTTTCTGGCCATGCTTGAGGCGGAACCATTCTCCCCAGTTCATGACGTGAGTAGCTGCTTGGAGAGTTTTCAAGGAAATGCTGTAAATCATTTGGTGTCTCTTTCTGCTTACTGAGTGAAGGCTTTGTCAAATCCACTGAACTAAACCAGCTTCCCCACCCCCTTCAGATGCTCAAAGACCAGTACCTCGGCTACAGGAAAACCTTTCTGGGAGATGCCATGGATGTGTTTGAGGCACGCCGAACGGACGCCAAGAAGTGGCAGAGCGCGCCCCGGGCTACGAGCGGGCCCGTGCCCTTCAGCAGCCTGCCAAACGCGGCAGCCGTCGCGATGGCTGCGACACATACTCAGCAGCAGCAGCCTGCTACAGGTCTGAGCGCATTCAAGTTATAGATTATTAGTCTTACGGCAGCGGTGAACTCGTGTGACGTTTTCTATGAAGTCTTCCTCTGTGTTAGCCTAAAAATCTCGACGTTGTGATGAGCAGAGTTATTGATAGCCAATAGAAAATTGCAGGGTAGACTTAGCAATAACTATACAGCAGATATTTGATCTTGTGAACTTACTTGTATTAGTGGTATTTACTGTATTGTTCTAATTTACCCCTTGGAATGTGAGTCTTCACTCTTAAGTAACATCTCTGAATACACATAGTATAGCCTCTTTCCAAAATTGTTGGAAATTGTATGGTTACAGTAAATTATTTTCAAATTTCGGGGAGAGTATCTAAATGCATATTACCTTTTCCTTATGTAAAATGAATGGTGCGTTTTAATATAGCACTTTGGAATTGTAAAATGAAAAATGCTATAAAACAGGGAAGGATAGTGGAGCAGTATCTGTAGAATAGGAAGACGGATACTGTCTATTTCCTAGCTCACCCCTTTGGCAGGGGGATGTTGCAGCAGTTATTTGCTTGTTGTTCTGCTGTTACAAATAAATATTAGCAGAGAAAGCAGAGAGGATGGGTGACTGTGTGTTCATGTGTGTATAAGAGGAAGACCAAAACAGAGAAGTACGTGACTTGTTGCTAATCAAAGACAAATATGTATGGCCCAGGAAATAACTTCTTATCACCATAGCTGATGGTGCTTGATACTAAGTATTGCCTCATACTAAGCAATGCTTTTCAGAGGTGGATTCCTGAAGAACTGAATCAAYGTTGAAGTGTTTAGTAGCAGCATTGACCTCTGCTTAATTTTCCTTGAACGCTGATACCTAAGTCTGCATCAGCGAACTATGAAAACCTTAGATAACTGTATTTTACCACTTATTTTCTAAAATGCTGTTTATCAGCAGCAGGCTAAAAGTCTTCATAGCACCTTTTCCTCCTGTGTTTTATAATAGTGGTTGTATGTAGTGAATTGTTTTAATTGGTGAGCTAGTTAGCAAGCACCCTAAGAGATCAATTAATTCTTGGGGAGTACCTGCCCTCTCCATGAAATAAAACGCAGAGTAGCCCTGGCCCTTCTAAACAGCAAGAGGATGGATCAAAAGACAAATGGGCCAAAATACTGTGAGCACAACAAAGAGTGTTAGGAAATATTGCTCCTTAGAATTCCTGCTGTTTGTCTTTATTTTTTTTTCTTGTGCTGTAATCTTAATCTTTGGATGTTCTGTTGAAATTTCAGCTAAGAGTCTATCCTTTATACAGGGGAAAAAAATGGTATGTCACACTTTGGGTTCTTAATATTGAAATAAGTGTGGCTTGTGGACCTAATGTTGCCAAAATATTTCCTTCTCCATTATTCTTGTATCTTGTTTCTTAAAATTTCCCCAGTCTTTACAGGATTATTCCTATACGAAAGCCACATATTTAAGATGTCACATTCAAAGTTTTACCTGCATTTTTATGTGGAGAGGGATTCAGATTTCCTTTTCCTGGTCCCATTCAAGAGAACTGCTAGTAACTTTAATAAATTTATGCCAGTTAGTGCATGACTCTGAGTATTCTCCTATGGATAGGAGTGGAAAAAAAATGCAGACCAACACATATGAGGTAAGGTGACTTTATACCTTGAGGTATTTTGTAATACTTTGTAATCAGAGGAGAAGGGGGTTGGAAGTAACTTTAAGAAAGAACCAGATAAGAGTTGTGAACAAAAGAAGTCAATGGTTTTGTTCCATATCTTACGTACATCAGTAAAAGTAGATGACAAATTGAATTTACCTCTAATTCAGTCTGAATATTGTCATGCTGTTTAATTTCTTCATTGAGAAGCTGACAATAAGAACTAGAGGTAGGTTGATGTTTTGAGTGGCACTATAACTTTTTTTGTCCTTTAAATAGGGTTAAGTGGAATTTGAAGTCTTCTTGTCTACTTCTTTCCTTCATATGCAGGGAATGAGGTTTGAGCTGTTCCTGAAGAATGTTTTTCAGTCCTAAACATTTGTTAGGATGGAAAAAAATCACAACTTCCCTGGAATAACATTCTCAGTTCATTTTTTGAATAATTTTTTTGGTGGTTGGTTGGATTTTCTCCAACATGTAACATGAAACTTCTTAATTTCAGTTTAAGGCTACTGTTTTTGTCTTATTCTCATTGGAAGAATATGATCTTTTCTTTCAGTTTTGCAGGAATATTTGAATATTAAAAGATTATCTTACCGTTATTTCTTCTTTCTTGTCTGAGGAAACATTTTCAGATGGCAACCTGCTGCAGTAAAACTCTGCAAATGTAAAACTCTGCAAATATTTGCATGTTTTCAGCTTTGTGTTAATTCTTGCTTTGTATACACTTTCCCTACTCAAAGTTTAARCCGTATGTATTTCTTTACAAGTTCTAGGTCATGAAGAGTAGGACCTGTGAGGGAAGGTGGAAGGCTTTGGGAGGAGAGGCTTTGAAGTGAGGGAGTGTGTGTGCTGGGGGGAGGGTGAGGGGTGCATGGGATACCTGGCTGCCTGGGGCTCTCCTTGAAGACAGAAGTGAAACAAAATTAATCCAGGCTTTAAAGTTCTTGATTAAAATGTAATATATGGTACTTTGGGGATCAGAATGGTTATGTCTTTGAATATTTGATGTTTCCATGGTTAAGTATGTTCCATAAAGTTGACTTAGAGTTAGTACTGGTCTTTCTCTGGAAAAGATGGTTCGTTTTTAAATTCATGTTCAGAAGTCAAAAGGTTTTTATTAACCACGTCTAAACTGGGGGATCCAGGAATGGTTCCTGGGTGCAGCTAAGCACCCATCCGTGCTGTATGTGGAGAACCTGCCAAGACCCAGCTCGGGGGCCTGCCATCATTTCCTCTTACCCTTCCGTGTCTGTCCCCTGGCGGGACAAAGCCGGTGGATCCTGGCTGCATGGAAGGAAGGGAGCAGAGTTGTTTTAAGAGAAGCCAAAATTATTTGATAACACTGAAGTCTCCACTCAACTTTTCTCCCCAAACTTTGCACTTTTGGTCCCGAGCGCAGCTTTTTGGTGTCAGTGGTGGCCACGCTTTGGAGGCTTCACCTTCCCTGAGCAGTCTGTAACGTCATGGAAGTTAAAGTGAGGGTGACTAATCTGCCTACGTTATTACCAATGATGGTACCAAAGTGAAAGATTTTAAGGGAAATTAAAGCTTAGTGAGCTTAGAGTTGTAAGTRCACAAGGCCAACACTAACCTAGTGTTTTTTTTTCTGGTTAGACATAGCTGTCATAACCAAAGTGCTTTCCTCCAAGCTAACCTTTCTTAAATRCATAGTTACTCCTTCCTTAACTGGTGAGTAGGGAGTGAGTCAAAGCTGTGTGAAGATACTAGTTTGCTTTATTCTGTTTGAATGGACGCAATGGGATTGAAGTGGTAATGGAAAGTGATACTGAAATCTTTAAAGCACTTAATTTTTTTAATTGTTTAATATGATCTTAGCCACGATTAAATTTTATTATCAGTGTGTTGCTTTGTCAGAATTGGATCCGAGCAGCAATACTAAATTTGCTCAATGTTAGGACCAATTGCAATTTTTTTAAAAACTGCAGGAAGTTGCTTTGTTGCAAGCCTAGCTGACCKAACTTGGCTCTCTGTAGTAGGTCTTGTCCATTAAACTGAAATGCTGTGCTCTACAGAGCAAGCACAGTAAGCTGAAAAACATTAGAATATTGGTTATAAGGAATTTGTCTCGTATCTGTAAAAGCCAGGAGTGCCRATTTTTGCTAGTACTTTTGGCATTGGAGAATATTACTTTTTTTTTTTCCTTCCTCTTGAAAATAATGTGTGTTTACTTACAAGGATTATAAATAGCAATGAGGCCTTCAGAACATCCTGGTACAAAATCAACAAATACCACCTTGTTAACCTAAGGTATGAGATGCTGTTTTATATAACCTGAGGTGTTCTAGAGTAAGTGTGCTTATATAAAATAAGTGTATGTTTTGTTTTTTTAACTGGCTCTATAAAAACCCCATATATTTGGAGACAAATTTGGAGGACTATAGTGTCTTTGTTCTGTTTTAAGGTCTTCCACTTACAGTGCCTCCTCCTGAAGCAGGGAACCTGTGCATTCCTTTCAGCTGAAAAGGAACTGGATATGTTCTTTTTTAAAAAAAAAAAAAAAAAAATTGTTGTATGACTTAACTCGCTCCTATAGCATTTTTATTTCTTTTTGTTGTTAACAATTATCTTTTTATTCTTACAGAGCTGCTAGGTAGGTGTCAGTATTGAAACTGGATGTAAACAAGTCTAGATTTATGTGAGAACTTGTGTTTAGAACAGCTGATACACTTTTAGTTGGAAAAAACAGCTTGGACTTCTTAACTGTTTCTTGCCAAGCAGAGCCTGAAAGCGAACWACTTTAGTTACCCTTAAAATGTAGTTTAACACTACTTTGAGTGTGCAGGTGTCGTGCAGCTTGGATCACATCAGAATACTGTGTTCCTAGCAAAAATGTGGCTATTCAATATACAGTGCCTTTCACTTGATTCAAAGTGATTTTTCTTTTCCATTTAAAGATTCAAGGACTGAACTGATATTTAAAGCTTAAAATATTTGCACTTTGAAACAGCAAAATGAGCTGCAAGAAACTTTGTAGGTATCTTAAAATATAAATATTCCTAAATGCCATAATGGATTGTGGGGGGCGGGGGGAAAAAAAGGACTGGAATYGTTTGAGCATTTTAATATTTGAATAAATGATTGCTTTCACAGGGGTGGTGCATATGTATCTGATAGTCAGGTAGAGAAGGCCGTCTTAAGGAGAGATGGGAATGTCTGTGGATTAAGAGTTTGGCACTGTATTTTATTTCTAATTAAAGTTTTTTAACTACTGCACTGAGAACTGTGCTTGAAAAAGACAGGAACAGAAGATTGTACTGTGAAAACTGTTTAAATATTTTAATAAATTATTTATCAGAATTTATTATTTTAAAGTATGTTAGCAGTGGGCTAGCAAGCTGATAATTTATCCCTCAAGAAGAAAAACTAAGGCTGTAAATTTTATCTTGGCAGACTGAAGATGTCTTTTGGCAGCCCTGCATCTAATAAATACGCAGGGGGAAACTACTAATTTTTTTTAAATGATGGGACAAACTTCTGAATCTGAAACTTTGAATGTATCTAACTCATTAAGGTACACAGACCTGTGCCTTTTGTAACTGTTTATTTAAGCAGGTGGTTTGACTAGTATACCTTCTGGAATGGTGTAATGTAGCAAAGCTTAACAGAACTACGTTATCACTTGTGTGGAAAAGAATTGAATTGTCATGTTACTGTGTACTTGACTTGCTTTAAAATGAACAATAAATTTAATAAAATAAAGTCATTGTCTTGTTTTTTATCTATTCAGTATTCAGTTTAAATTTAAAGCAATATGTGAAGATTCCAATTTAATTTTTTGGTAACAGCCTTAATTAGTATTCATTCATATGTTTTTTAATTTGAAGATTATTCTTTCTCTACTTTCATTAATACAGGTGGCAAATACTGTTACCTATAGTTCTGTTAAGATTTTGAGTAATGACTAAGACATGCAAGCTTTTAAGATGAGTCCAGTTAACTTCTTAATTTGATGTAATGCTGTTGTCATGTGCCGAGTTTGGGCTACTGTCACCTTATTRCGGCCAGTGTTTTCTTAGCTCTTACCAGGTGGATGCAGAGGTAGGCAATCTGAGAAATGTGGAGGAGGTAAAGTATGGGCTTTGTTGAAAGCAATGATGTTCACGTGATCAAATAGTTGCTTAAATAAAGGCTCCTRTTTTTCTATGAAAGAGTAAGGCAAGTTTGTTCTCATCTTTTTTTTTTTTTTTATACCAGGGCCACAGCCATCTCTGGGAGTTAGTTTTGGAACGCCATTCGGCTCAGGTATTGGCACTGGCTTGCAATCAAGCGGCTTAGGTTCTTCGAGCCTTGGAGGTACTCTTTAACTTTTCTCATGTTTCATTGAATTATTCTACACAGCTGAATCTCTTGCAAACCTTAAGCTTCTCTACGGGAATGATCTTTTGCAGCGGTAGGCCTGYAGTTTGACAATATGTATTTTGCGGATTGCTTTAGGCCTCGCAGAGAGAGTTAAGTTTCATGGCCTCATACCTGGGATGAACAGGATTGAATAGTCACAGAGGGGTTTTTCTATAGCTAGGGAAAATGTGTTAGGTACCTCTCTTTGTAACTAGAACCTGAGTTCATTTTTGGGGTATATGAATGTTAGACATCTGAGACAAGGGGACATACAAGGGATAATCTATACCTGTGTGTACATAATGCATGTATGTACAGCTACTATTTGGGAACCCATTTCTGCTTCTGGATTAAGATAAGAAGACAGTGCACTGGGAAACGAATATAGTTCTAGGTTCCTGCTTGCAGAAACATGTTTCATCCAGCTGTCTGTCCCTCAGCCTTGAGGGTTAACCTCAAGGTTAGCCTTTTCTCAAGCCTTAAAGCAGTGTAACCTCTGAAAGTAAAAGAAAATTGCTACCATCAAAATGTAAATTTAGAATGCAAGGAGAGGAGGTGTATACCAAAAGTGTATATGATCATAAAAGAGTAGATAATGATCTGAAATATAAATACAACTCAGAGCTCCTCCTTTGAATGCAGTGTTAAGTGCAAGTCAAGGCACTTGTTGTCTTTGCAGATCTCCTAAAAGATTCAGAGGAGATTACTACATCTTTTGAGCATAACCATAGTGCCTTGTGCTCACTTCTCTTGTCATTCCCTGTCCGCTCTGCAGCGCCACTTCCCATCCTTCCATGTCGTTTCTTCAGGGTCAATATATAGGAATGGCTGTAARAGCATTTAAAATAATTAAACATCAATATCTTTTAGATCCACGTAGCTCCTGTATACTACAGGAGCTTAAAGATCAGTTTTGCCTTGACACAATCATCCTGAAATTATTCTTAAGTCTAGTAGTGTACTCTGTGAATTGTTCAAATAGAAACAGGTTTTCCTTTAAAACAAAACAAAAAATTGTTCCTAAATTATCAGATGACTCCTACCATGTTTTGGATGCCTTAAATGTATATTTTAGTGAAGGCACTAGAGGTTGTCTGTGGATGTTTGCATATCTTGCCTACATAAATTCAAGAATACTTCATTTTAAACAGTGTCTTAGAGACCAAACCTTAATTCTTTCTTTACTAATTCCCTGTTTAGGAAGGTTCTTTACTTGCACTTCTATATTTGTAAAATTTTGGTCTCCTAACAAACTGAGAAGACTACCAGAAGGAAAGAAGCAGTAGTAGTAGAATATAGAAATAGTGAAATAYAGGAGTATACCCAAAATATCCTGGAATGGTGGTATTAGAAATAAAGAAGGAGAGTGTATGCTCCAAGCATTCAAAAATATATTTTTATGGAAGGGAACGGGCAACCTATTTACAGTTTCTAATATATACTCTCAATACCACACTTTAATTGGGAAACTTGCTCTTTTTCCTAATACATCTTTTGTGAATTGTCACTAATGGACTTTTGCACTTAAGTCTTTAAGATGTGTGGCATAGAGTTCCTGTATTTTGTGAAATATTTGCTGACAGATACTTGCGTGCCATTTAATAGTTTATTTTAAGTTGAGATAAAAAAGTGTGGCACTTAAATAGCTTTGCATTCAACTGATACCTGCCATTTTACATACTTAGAATTCTTACTGGTTTAAAAAATACAGAGGACTATGGAATGCTCATTTAGACAATATTGTCAAATATTACTAGTTTTAAAATGTAAACCAATTCTTTAAAAGAAGGGTAAAGGCTTCAGTTCAAATTATTTTTTTCTTGTTCAAGTTAAGTTCAAGTTAAACTTTAAATGGGAGCAGAATTTTCTGAAGTGTAAAGATTGTTCTCATTTTGATAACTACCTGTTGAAACGGCCAAGATTACAGAATATATTTCTTTCCTTTTGTCTGGCTTTTGTCTCAAGCTGCAAATACGAACTCATTTCTGTGTTTAAGTCACTTTATGTTAATAGAACTTGAATTATTTATCTTGACAAAAATATATTTTGTGGTTATAACTCTCAACTACAAAATGAACAGACTTGATTTTATTTCAGTAATGCAGTTATGGCAGCCCAATTTCGGGGGAGCTTATTCCATTCTGTAATATTAAATTCTATTTCCAAACCTATTTCCTGGTCTCTCAGATAGGAYGAAACTAATAAAGCCAAACTTAAACTCAAATAATTTATTCTGCTGTAAGTGCAGAAAATTTTTCTATAGTTGTAGATGAGGATTGTGGCTTTTTGTAATAAGTTGCATAATTCTTGTTTGAYTCTTTTTGAAATATTGGGCCTGTATACAGTATTATTTAATCTGCCAATTTAACACTTCAGTGGCAATGTCATAATCTCAGATACTTCACCTCTGATCATATGTAGCATTTAATTTACTTGGTTTTATTTTTTTAAGACTCTCAAATGCTTTCCCGCTTGCATGCCACTGTTTTCTTAAGGAAAGTAGTGCTCCATCGAGCRTAAGATATTCCTGAGGCATGAACCTTTGGAATATTTTGCTTACCAAACAGTGYTTAGAATTATGTTTAGTTTTTAATTGCGGTGTCTTTTCTTGTTGTTTGTTGTATGTCCTTGCTGTTATTCCCCTAGGCTTTGGAAGTAGCTCTGCCTTTGGAAGCAGTGCCACGGGCGCCTCATCCTTTGGGTTTGGAGCCGCAAGTAAACCATCGGGGAGCCTGAGTGCAGGTGGGTTGTTTGCACCCTGAGTCCCAAGCTTATCTCTAAGTGCTGTATCCARACATCCAAAACACGAATTTTCAGAAAAGATTTTAGGGTTTTTTTAAGCATCTGGTCAACGCTAGTATTTTTTCACTTGATAATATCCATCTAATTAGAAGTGGGAGTAGGGGATTTTAATCGGATAGTTTGAGACATACMATTGCAGTCACTTAAATGCTTAAGAAATATTGCTACACGTAACCTTGTAACTTAATTTGTGGCATAGAGCAATGACTTGATGTCCTCTCTTCAAAAGTAAAGGTAAAATTATTTATTAGAAGTTTTGAAACTTTTCTTAGCRTTATCTATTTGCTTATTCTTTATATTCTTAATAGCATGTTGTAAGTATTTTTTGTATATCCTCCTAACTTATATGTATGTGTGAAGTATTTTGAAAAGATTTTCATTGCAGTGGAACTATTGATTTCATTTGACTTATTTTGTACTAGTTAGTTGTTGGTGAGAAGATGAAAAAATAGATGTAGCTGCTCCCTAACACAGCACTGACATCTGTCGCTTGTGTAGATTCCCTGTTTTCTTTTTCTCTGGGAGCTGTTTGAATCTGGGGGTGTTTGTGAAACTGGGGCTTTTTGTTTCTTTGTTTTTTAGCATGTGTTTTCCTGTGGTGATTGTTTAATGACAGGTTAGAGAACTCAGTGTTCTGGGATGGGTGTTTGATACCATGCATCTCTCTTAAAAGAAAATCTCTTCTTGCTTGGTTGACTGGGACTGTTTCATTTAGCAGCTAGTGCTGCAACCATAGTAAGTGGCTGGTATTTATTATGTGAGTTCCTGGTACATTATATTGGACCAGTGTTCTGATATTTGCATTTTTTATGGTTAAGGTTGGGTTGTTCTATGAAGTAAGACTTAAAGTAGCTTAAATGTTATTTCATAAAGTGAAAATATCTCAATAAGTTAACTAAATATTTGTGAAGGCATAACATCCTGTAAATTCCTGATAAAACATCTGATTTTGCTGTATGCAAATTGCAGGCCTCAACCTTTTGCTTACTTTTAATGTCAGAATCAAGTAAAAGCACTATTTACATTTTTATCTTGTAGCTGTTTCTCCAGAGTCATGAGACTTCCTCAAGGACAGGACAGCAGGTTTAGGTTTATTCGTCTAAAATCTTACATGGGCCTCTGAATTAAAGAGGAGATGGAGAAATAGCTACATCTGCTTCCCCCTCTGTTTCCTGGGATGAGAGACAAGCTGGGTTCAAGTGCAGAGCGTCACCAGGAGCTCTTATTCTATATCAACTCATTTGTTACGAGGGTGGCAGGTTCTGCAGGTGGCACCTGCGTGTTGAACAAGTGCAGTTACTGTAATGTAAATAGGGAAGTCTCCTGAGATCAGGATAAACTTCCTGCATTCAGSTCCTTAACCCTGATCCAGGTGTTTTAAAGAGTTCCACCTTGTGCTTTGAAAGAATGGTGCTTTGGATAAAGCTTCAGTTGTAAGTGAGGGTATAGAAAACATCAGGCAGCTTCAGTGTGAGCAACTTCAGGAATCTGAGACCCCCAGTTGGTTTCTTATTCCTGTGCATTAAAAACGTGCTATAGAGCATTGACTAAAGCCTTGTTTTAATCGCTGGGTTATTCTACTTGAATGTTGTTCAAASTGTGTGTGCTAAGGATTAAGTAGAGCATATTAAGAATATACCTTTTTGGGCTTTTGAACTAGTCTTTTTCTTAGTATTTTTATTATTTGTAGATTTTCACATGTAACTACTATAAAATTATTCGTTAAAATTTCAGCTTGGAAAAGTTGTGTGTCTGGTGTTTTGTTTCTTCCTTTGGAGAACAAAATGAAGGCTTTTATGAACTACTCCTTAACTAGTAATTGAGGAATTTCTACCATTCTCTAGTAGTTTCAACTGTTATTCCATGGGGTCACGCATAACTGATAAAAAGTTTTTTTTAAAAAATGATAAAAGCTGGAGRAAAAAAAAATGGAATGAGTTGCCTGTTAAAGTTGTTGAGATCTGCAGGTAGATTTTATYCACCACATTGTGATGGAGTTGCCCCAGCTCCTTGGGGCAGACTGTGTTGGTGCTGGATATCCAGGTTTCCTCAGCAAGTGCGCTGGTGCTGTGGGTCCCTCTGGGTAGAGAGCAGCCCAGGCGCWGGTAGCAGCGGCGCCGAGAAGAACGGCCTCGCGGGCGCGACGTGACTTGTGTTTTAAAGTGTTTCTTCCCTCCCTCCCAAGGCTTCGGCAGCTCCACCACGTCCGGGTTTAACTTCAGCAATCCGGGCATCACGGCGTCGGCCGGCCTCACCTTCGGGGTCTCCAACCCGGCCTCCGCAGGCTTTGGGACAGGAGGGCAGCTGCTCCAGCTGAAGAAACCCCCCGCGGGCAACAAGAGGGGGAAGAGATAGGCCCCCGTCCGGGGAGACGGGAGGGAAGCCGCCGTGCTCRTCTGTAAAGTCTATTTTTCTAGATTTGATGCATTGATGAAACTGCATCCCAGGAGATTTATAAAAGAATTTTGCTACTTTTCCCTAGTCTGAAATGTAATCATATTGAACAGCTATTTTCCTGTGAATAGATACTCGTTTATGTATTTTTATTTTTGGCCTTAGTTTTAGAAATGTTCTATACCGCATTATCAAAGAATCTTGTAAAACCATCTATTTAACCTAATGCTAGTAGCAGAATATTTTTTTGTTGATAAGCTTTATACCATATGAATATATGCATATTTGTTTTTTGTACAGATAGAATATATTCTAGTACAAATACTAGAGTTCATATCTTCTGTTCTTGGATATGGCCTTCAAATCTACTTCAGGGTGTTTTTGTGTATATGGATGTAAATATATACAGTACAGTGCACACATCTGTGTGTGTGTATGTATGTGTATATATATAGTGTATAAAATAAACACGTGCAAACCTTGCCCCCGAGACAGGTCGTCTCCGTTGTGTGCTCACTGTCCACGCTGTTCTGTGGTCCCACATCTGCTCTCCCTGGGAGCTGCAGCAGTGGGTCCCAGCCTGTGTTATCACTACACCTTGTGTTTTGTTTAAGACCAATTTAACCTTTACTGTCATTAACTTGAGCAAGTAGTAGCTCTCCCTCCATTTTTGACCCCTTTTCCTTGTGATTTTTTTTTTCTTGCCCATACAGCAGGCAGACACTGACATTTCCCAGGAAATATTCCTGAACTGCTTGATTTGGTTTTTCTTTTTTCTATTTTTTCTTTTTTCTATTAACAGCAGTTGCAAGCTGTGGAGTGCCCAAGCTCCATGTGCAAGCAGAGGGCTACAGGCTTGATGCACCTCCCTGTGCATTTGGAGGCACYAAGCACTGCTATCCTGGTGAAACCCTTCCCTTATCCCTCACAGGAGCTGATTCACCTGGCTTCTCATCAGTGCTAACAGCACTGGCTTAAACGCTGTTGCATTTCAGCCCTCGCTGTGAGGCAGAAAACAGTAAGTTGCTGCTAAAGAGTAAAGGAAAATGATGTAATGTGAAGGTCGAGCTGTTGTGACCACAGAGCATGAACATTGCAGGGTGCATTTGGGCCTGTTGTGCTGCATTTTCCGTGCACAACGCGTTAGGGAGCTGGAAAACATCTCGGGGAGATGCTGCCTTGTGCGAGATAAATAACAGAGCAAGTGAGTCTTTGCCAATGCAGATACCGGTTCTAATGTGAACGTGGAAGTTTGGAGCCCAGTGTTGGTTTTATATAGATAATGTTTTGTGTAGAACATGCATCAAATGGACAGTTGTAATTATTTCCACAAAAGCACCTTTTTTTTCCCCCTCTGAAAACTGCTATAGCGCATAAAATTTTTATAGTACCATGTCAGTTGCTTTCTGTTGTTAGTGTTACTGCCCTTTCATACAGTAGATCATACGCGTTTGCATCCAGCAGGGATTGCCCTGTGGCACAGTCTCAGTTTTGTCACTTAATCGGGTTAAAAAGTAAGGGAAATGGAGCAGAGGATAGTTCCCTTTTGTACATTTGCATGGTTTTGCATCTGTGTGAGCATCCTCTTAGGAAGGAAAATATATAAATTTTGTGGGGGAGTTTCATGATTGAGGAAAAACAAAATTCTCAGTTTATTCTCATTTCAACTGTTTTGCCTTTTAACTTACATGGGGCTACAGTCAAGACCCTACTGTTTGTATTTCTTTGTTAATGCTTTTTTAGTAGTTGATATGTTAAACCACTGGACTGACTTTCTTGTAATGTATTAATTTGTGAAATTCTAAACGTGTACTGTTTTTCCACATGTGCAACTTACCATTGTGTAAACAATAAAACAGAAATGCTGTGATCCTTGTAATACCCGTTTGCCTCCGAAAGATCATTTCCTACCACTGTAGTTCTCCTGTGCTTTGGCTGCCCCCGAATGAAGCTGCTGCAAAAACAGACTCGGGGAAGCATAAAAAACAATCTCTATACTAACATGGTGTTAAATTCTTCTTGCTGAACCTCAGGCTGTGGTCTGATTTCTTATCATTACACTGTATGGCATGGGATTGTGACAGCAGTAAATAGGACTTTTGTCCCTTTTGTGAATGTTGTGATGAGAAATTTAATTTTAAAACTTCTTTGCATTGGGGCCACAATTACCTTAATTAGCCTGAGTGCGAAGTGGAATAGTCCCATGCTTAGATGTACAAACTGAAGCATTAAAAATAGGTTTTGAAATAACTTATCTTCATGTTTTTTTCCRGATTACTATTAATACCAATTCCAATAGGTATCATTAATAACTTTTTTCCCAAATTAAACCTTTTAATATAATTAGACTGCAAAATATAAATACCCTTAAGAAGCAACTTAGGTTTCCACAAGCTGTCAACATTACCCCAAAAGAGAATCTGACCTGTATTTAAATACCATGAAATTGAAGTCAACTCCAGATGATTTGTCCTACACCTCCCCCTTAATTTTTTTTCCCCTCCAGCAGGTAAGTGCACCAGAGGAGGACTGAAATCATGGTTTGCAATGGAGTGTCTGCACAGCTGTGGTTTGGGTTTTCTTACCAGTTGAGACCTTGGTGTGTCTGTTCAGAGGGGGTTGAAGCGAGGGGCAGCTGGGCAGGGTTTTCTGCATCATCCTGAGCACAGGGCTCTGAAATCCCAACCCAGCCATGCCCCTGCCCTCTGCCTCTTCCTGTTACGACTGTTTTGAGCCTTATTTGCTCTTTTTCTTATGAAAACAAGGTTGCAGAAGATAGCAGAAGAATGTTCTTTGTCAGTAGTAGTAATTCCTCTTTGTATTCTTCTCTTCTTCTCATGGATAAATGGTAGAAATAATCCAGCATCAGTCACGTCAGCTCTTACCTGTTAACAGGTTCTAGCATCTCTGTGGCCTCAGATGGTAGGAAATGAACCACTATTAGGTTTTTAGCAAGGAATAAGAGCAACTATGTGTACAGAAAACCTTCATACTGCAGGGTGTAAATCCACTATGTGCTATGCAAGATTCTTTTCTGAAATGCTTATTTGGGGGTTGAAGGGCAAAGAGCTGCTGAAACACAACAGCAGCCAGCAAAATCTCACCCAACTTTTAGCCCAGCTGCTCTCCAGCCGCTTCCCTTTCCCTTTGTCACRTTTTTGGGCCCCTGATTAGCTGCTCCAGGCCTGGGCAGATGGTCACAGGTCTCACCCTGGCAGATCTGCACACCTTGCACAAACATCACCAGCGGGGAGAGCGTAGGGGATGAGCACCAGGCCTCCTGCTGGCCACGGGACATCCTGCGGTGGGGTCGCCTCTTCTGAACCCAGTGCTGACCGGTGGCGGGGTGTCCCCCCAAAGCGACACCAAGCTTGTAAGGTAAACCCCAAACTGTGTGCTGGTAGACTGCTGTGTTCAGCAGGGATGAACAGGTGATTACAGCAGGTGGATGCGTGTTTTTTAGGTGGGTGGCTATTTTTATTATTTTATTTTATTTTATTTTATTTTATTTTATTTTATTTTATTTTATTTTATTTTATTTTATATTTCATTTTTCTCTCCTTCTGGAGAAAAAGACCTTCTTCTGGTTATGGAGTTTGCAATTAAAAAGAAGCCACAAGCTGACCGACCTTTAGGGGCCTGCCCTGAGCTCTCCCAGAGCGGGGCAGTGTGGGGCTGCCTCCCCATGGGGCAGGAGGCGGCCCGTTTCACACCCTCCCAAACCTCCCCGGGAGGCCCTGCTGCCACACAGGGTCTCACSTTCTGTGCCAAAGTCACTCGCGTTTCTTGCACCTTTTTTAAGGTAGTGATGTTTTAAATGATTATATCAATATTAGAAGTATAATTCTAAGCTGTTTCATTCTGCTGCATTTCGTTATCACTTTTTTCTTTTTTTTTTACTTATCCTTAGGTTCTTAATCATACCTGTCACTGCAGTTGTGAACAGCACCACTAACAGAAGGGAATATGCTGGATGGTACTTTAGCTTTAGTTTTTTTCCAAGGAATAGTTTGCCATTATTTCCCTATTTTAACTTTTATAACTTACTAAGAGCAGATTTTGATGAAGTTTAGAAACTTTTGCAACTTTCTAAGAAAGCTTTGGGGTTGGTTTTTACTTCCCTGGGCACAGATCTCTCTTGCATGGACAGCTTGGGATAATGTGGTCCTGGATAGGCCAGTGACTGAGTGGTCAAAAGAAGTTAGTGTTCTTGTTCCTTCAACCGGGGTCTTTGACCGAGGGAATTCCCTCTTTTTCTCTTCCATCCAGGTGTCACCGTACGGCACGTGCTTGGACAGCGCAAGGACAGCAGCTTCCTGGAAAACAGCACGCTTGCTTCCAAAATCCGCTTCTGAGGAGAGGCTGGCGCTTGGCAAGCACTTCTTGGCCTGGACATAGGTATGGGGATGTAACGTGGCATGTTGTGAAACCAGGACGTGCTTCTGGCTTGGTGCTTTTATAAATCCCTGTCACAAAAGCAGGCCGGGATGGCCGGGCCTGTGGAGCAGGGTGGGCCCAAGGCCTGTGGAGCAGGGCGGGCCCAAGGGCTGTGAAGCAGGGTGGGCCCAAGGGCTGTGAAGCAGGGCGGGCCCAAGGGCTGTGCGGGCGACCTGGACACTGCTGCTGGCGCGTGGGGACAGGCACCTTCCCCTCTGATGGACACGGGCAGTGGCACGAGGGTGAAAACACCTCCGTCTACCAGGGCATCCCTGTGCATGCCCGTGCATGGCACCGCTTCCCTGCCTTAATGCCGTGTGCCGGAATATGTTCCGGAGGGAAGAGGGAGGGTGTTTTACGTGGCCGGTGCCGGGCACAGCAGCGCTCTGTGGGTGCCGAGATCAAGCCCTGCTCCTACCCTAGATGTGCAGAAGCAGCTGGAGAGGCGGCAGAGCCGATACCGGCCCTGCAACAAGTGGGAATCACTGTCCTCGAGGTGTAGCAGCCGATACCATTGCCCTGCTATTAACTTCCTTACACTTGTACACTTGATCTGCTAAATGTTCTTATACACACTGATCTTTTCCCCACCGTGTGGCTGCTGCTTGCGGAGCGGCGCTGCTGGTCCCCTGCAAAGGCCCAGGCAGCAGACAGGGCTTTTGCGACGCACTGGTACCGGTTTGGGGTTTTGTGCCTTGCTGCTGCACCGGAGTTTGGGACTAGGGCATGAGAGACGAGCAATAGGAATTCTGGTGCGTTTTCCATGTGAACTAGTGTTGAAATGAAAAGCTGCTGCGTGCACTTATTTGAGTTGAAGAGAAATTTTTAATGATACTTCATCTAATTGTGCAGTCCCGCTGGAAGGACAGGCTGTGGARAGGTTGATTTAAGATTGATTTAGCCCCTAACACGCAGTTCTTCCTCTCTCTTCATCTCAAATATTTACAAATAATAATAATTATTATTACTATTATAAACATCCAGAGCTCAAGTTCTTTTCTCCCGTGTTAGTGGCTGGAATGACTGGCCGCAGCAGGAACAATCCCTCGGTTAGGAAGCTGCCTGTCCCCAGTGTGGAGCCGGCAGCTCAGCCGGCAGCTGAGCGTCAACCCGGGGTGTTTTCCGAGCGCGTTGGCTGCCCGGTTCCCCTCATGGAGCTGGAGAGCTCGTGGCGATGCTCTGCAGGCTCCCTTCGCTCCTGAGCTCGCTGATCRGAGCCTCCTGCAGCCAGGCCCTATTCCCGAGGTATCCATAGGGGCTCTGACAGGGAGGTGCCGCTCGGGGTCCCYGGGGGCCATGCGGACACTGCAAGTGCTGGTGCTGTCACCCCCTTTCTCCCCAGGCTGCTTTTATCACCCCTTCTCTTCCCCACGAGGCCCTTTGCATCACCTTGTTCTAATTATTTTCCAGGAAATAAGAGCCCATAAAAAAAAGCCCTCCCGTTTATGAATACAGGTGTATTTGAAAATATAGGTATTAAGTATGTTCCCTAAGCAGGAATAAAAGAAAAATAAATAATGACCAGCTTATTTCAGTGCTGCCCTAAATGTGACAAACAGCTTGAGCTTTCTAAATATACTGGGGGTGTTTAAACGGTGCTTCCATGGGCAGAGATATGTTAGTGTCAAAGATCATTTATAGCCAGTGCTGCAGCGGGAGAGAGGGAAACGCCACTCACTGAAGCTCGTGCGTTCTGGCCGTCTTCCTGCATGTGTGTGTGTCTGTATATATATATGGGTGTATTATATATATATTTAAGACCTGTTAGTGGGATCTGCACTCCAGCAGTGGCAGCTTTGGTCCCAACGCCGCAGCCRCCGTGTTTTCTGCTCCTACCCTTCCCACGGCCTGCACGTGGGGGCAGCAAGGCTCTGCTTTGGCAGCCCGTGCGCCCCAGAAGCAYCGCGCCTCACGCCGCGGTTTCTGACTCCAAGGGATCTGCTTACAAGTGAAAAAGGAACCTTTTTCTGTAAGTAACCCCTACGTACCTGCTTCTGCTTCTGGATTTACATTCGTTCCACAGCTTTGTGTCGCATTCAGAGCATTCCCGGCTGCCGTGAGTAACACCCAGGCCTGGGGATAGACGTGTCCTGGCTGAGCCAGCTCAAGGATCATCGTGTGATGAGTCACTATAACTCTCCCATGGGAGAAGGAAAGGAGAAGGTGTCAGGTTCCAAGGTCTAACTTAAAATCACCGTTTATTGGAATGTTGCATCTGCAATTGAAGAAGCAAATTCCTGAATCCAGCTTTCCAAGATTGCTGGTGGGGTTACAAAAAATGTGTAGTAGTAGTGATGCAGTGGTGATAACAGCAGGTAAGCATGAGGAGAGAGGTGCATAAAGGTGCCCGGTGAGTGCTCGGGGCTGGGCAGTACAAAGCGGGTGATCTCACACGTGTCCAGGGGCTAAAAGCTGTGCCTGCTGGTGGAGAGGGAAGCAGGGAAGGAAGCAGAGCATCCTAAGGGAGAAGGAGACATACAGAGCTGTCCAGAGCTCAGCAGCGATGGGCCAAGAGGAAAAGGGGGTCGGAGTTGGGATTGGGGTCCCGCCAGGGGGTAGAGGCACAGAAACGGGGACAGCTCCAYGCCTCGGCACATCCGGAGAGGGAACCGAGCGGGATTTGCTGTTTCCCACCTCCTCTTGCCGGGGCGCTCTCGGTTTCCCCCTTCTCGTGCTGCCCGGCAAGCGGGGGCTCCGCCAGGACGCGGGTCTCCCCCCGTGACCACCCAGGGCTCCCATGGGTGCCTCCGGCTTTACCCACCGAGCAGGAGACGCTGAGGACAACAAAACCCTCTGGTGCCTCCGCGTTGCCTCTCTTGGTGACTCCTTTCTGCAGAAACATCTGTCTGTGCGAGGCTTAGGCGAGCCAGGCTTAGGCGAGSTAGGGAAGGGAGGCGCTTTGGGCTCTGAAGTCTCCTCAGTCTTCCTGAGAAGTCCCCACGTGCAGAACTGTCCCTTCAGCAACAGCAGYGGTAATAAAACACCCAACCCCTTTGAAGCTGTTGTAACAAGCAGAGCATCTGCTGGTGCAACCGCTGCGTCCACCTGCAAGGTAGGGAGACCCCCTGCTCAGAGACACCGGAGCACCGCGGCAAAACCGTGACGGAAACTGCCTTTTTCAGGGGTTTTTGTTTTGTTTTGTTTTGTTTTAGTTTAGTTTTTCCAATGGCTAAAAGAGCCAACTCGAACATATCATACTTTTCACAGCTCAAGTGAAAAGACATGTTGGAGGAAACGAAAGAGTTTAAGGACAGCTTATGAGTTCCTCAAAYGAAGGCAAAGTAAAACTTTGTATTTTCCTGTATTTTCCTGCTTTTGTCTTGAGAAGGTCGAAGAAAACGTTTATGAGCCCAAGTTACTGTAACTGCAGTCCAAGTCTGCAGACTTGTAGAAGAAGTCGAGGCAGGTGCTGTCGGGACTTCTAGATCACGTGGTCGTTGCTGAAAGCCTCCAAGCTTCCAAAACCTTGGCCGCTCTGACGGGACATTTCAGTCACATCCGAACGATGCCGGGCTGGGCAGCCTTGCAGGACTCGGCATCTTAATCATGGCTTCAATCTGCTCCGAAGTGAAGTCATGAAAACTCTAGGCAAGCAAGTGAATTAAAAAGCTGAAGAGGGAGCACATGCTATACACAAGTAGGTGAATATTATATATATAATAATATATATATCCTCAAAGAAGCACTGTGCATACACAGTGCAGATAGGTACTCTCTTTCTGCATATAGTGTGTATATACCATACACACCATACATATATATACACATCATATGTGCAYACAGTACCTATCTCTGTATGTGTATATATGTACATACACATGCACATTAAATATATACACACCCTATATGTACATATAGAGAGAGTACCTATCTATACGTGTRCTATACATATGTGTAGGGCTTCTTTGCGGAGAGGGGCGGCGTTAGGGCCGCTCGAGGGCTCCACACAAGCGCCGGCCCGTGCGGGGCCGGGCACGTCCAGGGCAGCTTCCCCCCGAGCCCGAAGAGCCGCCACGGCGGGATGGGCGCTGCGTGGCGGGTGGGGACGGGAAAGGGCGCGCGGGAACGCCTCGGGACGGGCAGGGCGCGGGAAGCCCCCGGGAACCCCCCGGGAACCCCGCGGGACGGGCAGGGCGCGGGAAGCCCCCGGGAACCGCCCGGGAACC